TATCGACATTTCTGCACTAACATATTTAGAAGCATTCATAACTGTAGATAAACTTAGTGTGAAATTTTTTATTTTTAGAATTATTTTCTCAAAATTATTAATTTTGCAGTATCGTTGGTCTGCCTTTGGCCTCAAAATGAGCTTTCGTTTATTACTGCTGTGTGTATCTATCTAGCGTGCTACAAATGTATTCATTATGTTTTCTCATCTCTTTCAGGCACGCAAAACGACAATGGCAAAAACGTCTTCGACATCATTCCCACCACCGGGACCATACAAGCAGGTTTGGCAAATATTTGTGATGAGTTGTGATTGTGGATGTTTTTCTTCCCTGTCATCACATCTCAGATCAATTAGGAGGCAGGCTGCCTCAACCTTGCCTATCATAGTCAACGACAATTATATAACTGTGCTTTGCTCTTTTACTAGTGTAGTGATGTCAAATAGGTTTTTGCGGGTGGTTTGAAGGTGGCTCTGGTAGGTCAGGTCCTTCTTCTTTTCTTTCACTCTGTTGTTTGGCTCTGTTTGCCTTTCTTTCTCCCAGATCTAAAGGACAGTTTTGAGTCGACGTATTTCTCAGTACTGAAACAAACAGAACAAACAATACAAAACAAAGGGAACAAATAGGACAAACAGAACAAGTAAAACAAACAAAACAAACAAAACAAACAGAACAAGCAGAACAACAAAACAAGGAGAACAAACGAAGCAAAACGAACAGAACTAACAAAAGAGACAGAACAAACAAAACTAACAAAACAAACTAACAAACAAAACAAACAAACAAACCAATAACTCATCAACTGTTCTGTTAATCCAGGAGAGACCAAGGAGATCACAGTGACCTTTGCCCCCGACCATGAAAGTGACCTCTACTCAGACGGAGTTCGGATTGAGTTGTTTGATCAGGTCTGTACTACCTACATATATTTACGTATAGATGAGAGATGTGGACCTATATGATGTATTATATATGTATGTTTTATATTTTATGCCTACGTATGTAATAGAGAGAGAGAGAGAGAGAGAGAGAGAGAGAGAGAGAGAGTGTGTGTGTGTGTGTGTAAGCACATATTGGACCACTGAGTCTGTCTACATTAATCACTGACATCATTTTTCCCCTCCCTCCCTCAGTTTCAAGAAGAGCTTGGCATTATCACCTTGAACTCGACCTTGCACTTGACCCTCAGAGGTCGCGGAGTCAGTCCCCTGGTGAACTTGAGCATTGAGGACGAGTTGTTTGACATGAACGCCGTGCTGGTCAGCGAATACGTGGAGAAGATCTTCAAGGTGGGTGTGGGATTAGTGTTATGTCCATGGAAAAGAACAAATAAGGAAAGCTAAGATGAGATAAATAAGATAAGATTAGATAGATAAAATAGATAAAAATAAATTTTGTAAAAAAGATAAGATAAGATTTTTACAAATAGATTTTGAAAAAGAAGATAAGATAAGATAAAAATAGATTTTGTAAAAAGGATAAGATAAGATAAAAATATATTTTGTAAAAATAAAAAAGATAGATAAGATGAGATAAGATAAGATAAAATTCCCCCTGCTGTGTCCTCACAGATCCAGAACACGTCCACTCTGGCCATCGACTACGTCATCAAACAGGACAGTTTATCTCCCCTGAGACATCAGAAGCAGCAGGAGATACCGGCCTACGTCACTCACTCACAGGTCGTCAAGAACTTTGTGGGTCAGTACCTGAAACCTGCAGCAGCATAGGTTTTGTTTGTTTGTTTGCTTCTTTTTTTTGTTTCTTTTTTTTTTCTTTTTTTTTTTCTTTTTTTTGTTTCTTTTTTGGTATCGACATTTCTGCACTAACATATTTAGAAGCATTCATAACTGTAGATAAACTTAGTGTGAAATTTTTTATTTTTAGAATTATTTTCTCAAAATTATTAATTTTGCAGTATCGTTGGTCTGCCTTTGGCCTCAAAATGAGCTTTCGTTTATTACTGCTGTGTGTATCTATCTAGCGTGCTACAAATGTATTCATTATGTTTTCTCATCTCTTTCAGGCACGCAAAACGACAATGGCAAAAACGTCTTCGACATCATTCCCACCACCGGGACCATACAAGCAGGTTTGGCAAATATTTGTGATGAGTTGTGATTGTGGATGTTTTTCTTCCCTGTCATCACATCTCAGATCAATTAGGAGGCAGGCTGCCTCAACCTTGCCTATCATAGTCAACGACAATTATATAACTGTGCTTTGCTCTTTTACTAGTGTAGTGATGTCAAATAGGTTTTTGCGGGTGGTTTGAAGGTGGCTCTGGTAGGTCAGGTCCTTCTTCTTTTCTTTCACTCTGTTGTTTGGCTCTGTTTGCCTTTCTTTCTCCCAGATCTAAAGGACAGTTTTGAGTCGACGTATTTCTCAGTACTGAAACAAACAGAACAAACAATACAAAACAAAGGGAACAAATAGGACAAACAGAACAAGTAAAACAAACAAAACAAACAAAACAAACAGAACAAGCAGAACAACAAAACAAGGAGAACAAACGAAGCAAAACGAACAGAACTAACAAAAGAGACAGAACAAACAAAACTAACAAAACAAACTAACAAACAAAACAAACAAACAAACCAATAACTCATCAACTGTTCTGTTAATCCAGGAGAGACCAAGGAGATCACAGTGACCTTTGCCCCCGACCATGAAAGTGACCTCTACTCAGACGGAGTTCGGATTGAGTTGTTTGATCAGGTCTGTACTACCTACATATATTTACGTATAGATGAGAGATGTGGACCTATATGATGTATTATATATGTATGTTTTATATTTTATGCCTACGTATGTAATAGAGGGACAATATTTGCCTTCGCCTTTCCTTTGTACTGCTGCACAAGCCCCTTCCTAAAGCCCCATCCCATCTCATACACTGACTTGGAATCAATTTTATTTATTTGGCATATCTTTTATCTTATTTTACCTTATGGCAATATTTGAAAGGGTTTTCTTGATGATGTACATATATTATATCATATTGTATATATATATATTTATACATATATGGACAGCATTGTGACAAAATGAGTTGCTTGTAGCATTCAGCTATTTCGAGATATTGGGCAAAATGGTTTCAATAGTGCTGGGAAGTGCCAGAATTTAGTATTGGGTCCTTGGAAAAGCCTTCAGAGATGGAGGTTATCTGCTAAGCAGACTCATGTTAGACTTCAGCAGATCTGTCATTTGAAACGCATCATGTCAAGTTGTCAAAAAGTGACATGTGACTCATTTAGTCGGGTGCTTGACATAGATCTATCATATTATAGATGTCTTCACAAAGAATCATTTCTTAAAGCTACGAATTCTTTTGTATATATTTTTACTTTGAAACTGCACATCTAAGAGAAAGCAAATCACATGAAATACATATTGTCGTCGTACCCCCTATATTCATGCTCTCAAATATTATAATTACTCTTATACCTTTTTTCCATTTCCCTTCTTTTTTTTTTTTTGGTATACCGTTTGCTGTATTATTAGTAGTAATATTTCTCAGATTTTGCTTTGCATATCAGTTTATAAGAAATATATACATATTCAGTTGAACCTGCTTTAACGGAAACCTGTGTAAAACGGAAACCTGTCTTAACGGAATCTCCCCGCTCCCGCCTTGATATATTCCTCTTTAATTACCTGTATAAAACGGAAACCTGTCCAGTGCAGAAATGGAAAAAAATTCCGCTCCCTTCCAAGGGTTTCACCAATCTAAGATGGAAAATGCTTTGCCCGCTCAGCACTGATTTGAAACAAAACTCACAAGTTTGGTTTTGCCGGCTCAAAACTTAACACCATGGCCATGCCACTAGGTGAGGAAGGGGAGATGGGGTGCAATTTGGGGGTAGATGTTACCCCAGCCACTACGGTAACTTTCTTGGGTAGCCAGAAGCCAGAGGTGTGAAATTAGACTGACCAATGCCTGCCGCCCTGATCATACGGTCAGCTGAGAAAAGAGTTCCTCGAATCATTGTTACATGATGGCAGTGAGGGGTGGCATTGGTTGACTGTGCTTGTTATACCGATGGGTGGGGCTGCTAGTGGAAGCAAAGGAGATGTTCAAACATTTCTGTTTTTAATAGGTCAAACAGTGGTCCTATGAAAGGCCAGCACTGGTGGTAATTGGATAAGTAAGACTGACGCATGTCATAGCAATGGATAGGTGTGAAGTTTTGACCACTGCTTCCTGATCGGACAAGCAATCCTTGATCCCACCGGCTGGACCTTTGAACTCCCCCCAACTCCCCCTCCCACTTGCCTGCCGCCCTGATCATACGGTCAGCTGAGAAAAGAGTTCCTCGAATCATTGTTACATGATGGCAGTGAGGGGTGGCATTGGTTGACTGTGCTTGTTATACCGATGGGTGGGGCTGAGAGTGAGAGCAAAGGAGATGTTCAAACATTTCTGTTTTTAATAGGTCAAACAGTGGTCCTATGAAAGGCCAGCACTGGTGGTAATTGGATAAGTAAGACTGACGCATGTCATAGCAATGGATAGGTGTGAAGTTTTGACCACTGCTTCCTGATCGGACAAGCAATCCTTGATCCCACCAGCTGGGCCTTTGAACCCCCCCCCCAACTCCCCCCCCCCCCCCAGACACGCTTTCCATCTTCCCTAAATTCCCCTGTCTAAGACGGAAAATGTCTAAGATGGAATTATTTTCTGGCTCCCTTGCGATTCCGCCTTACACAGGTTCGACTGTATAAGTAAATCTATGATAAAAACGAGACAGAAATGTTAAGACAATTCAGGGTTTCTCGACAGTAGCCCTTGGAAACAAAGGCAAACTGTATGATTTCAAGAAACACAAGTCAAATGTTTACAAAGTTTTATTCAATTGAAGTATTAACAAATAGCATCTTCAGTATGATTTCCACATGTGTTGCAGAAATTGATGTGTTTTGCGTAAACTTTATGAAATACCCCCACACTTCTGTCAATAAATACAGTAAGAATGAGATTTCATATGTGAGTACAGACATAAGGGACATCCCTATAATGTATGGGCCAATGCTGGGAGTTCCTGTCAGATCACAAAATATTTTCTCTGGAGCGGAGAGGAGTTTGCGAACTTTAAAGTTAATTTTTCCTGATTATTTTGTTCATTTCTTTTCTCTTCTTTTCTTTTTATATTTTGTTATTTCTCTTTTTCCCCCAATGTTGACAAATCCTGATGTACATGTTTATAATATGTATACGTTATTTATACATTATATCACTTTCAGACATGTGTTCACCAGGGTCAGGTATTCATGTAGAAGCCAATACGTTTGCTCTGTTTAGTATTCCATTCTACCATAAATTGGGCCGTTTACAAAATTGCTTTCTTTCATTTTGTGATTTATACTCTTCAACAGTTTTCTTATTTCCATTTTACAATGATAAGGATAAGGATTAGGTGCTTGCACTACATGAGCTTGAAGAGAGAGAGGAAGGGAGACAGAGAGAAAGAGATGAAGAGTGAGAGGGAGAGAGAAAGAGAGAGAAAGAGGGAGAGAGAGAAAAAGAGGGAGAGGGAGTGAATGAGAGAGAATGGGTAATGGAGTGAGTGAGAGTGAAAGAGTAAGGGAGGGAGGGAGAGAAAGAAAGGGAGAGAGAAAGAAAGAGAGAGAGAGAGAGAAAAGGGTGGGGGGAGAGCGGAGGGAGGTGAATCAGATAAAGATATGATGCTTTAGTTCATTTTAATTTTTTTTTATTGATTTTAACCTAATTGTTCTTTTTAAAAAGATTTCTTTTTTTTCTTTTGGATTACTCTTTCCCACATTTTAACCCTTCAAGTTTTGTTAGTTTCATTACAAGAAATGACAAAGTACATAATATTTTCTATGTGTCTAGTTGAAACTGGCCGATATGCATAATTTGCCGCTAAATCATTTCTACTATTGTCGATCACATGTAGTAGAGTACAGCTGGAGGTTTTTCAATAAGTCTTGGAATTGCTTTGCCATTAGATAGCTTAAACCACTTTGCTGCTATCATATCTGCAGATATTGTTTTTACCTATTTGTGATAATACCATAGTGCTTCTGTGCCAGCTTCATAAAAATGTTGCTTGATCAGGGATGGAGAGTTTTATAAAATCCCAGACCGTACGCTCTGAGGTATTTCTGGTTCCCTATGGAGCACACTGGTTGAGCCAAATAATTATGAAGAGCAAGGAGGGTAGATGCTGTGCACATTCTACTATATCGTCACTGGGCTAGCAAAATAGCACATCTCATTTTTGCTACTTTTGAGATAAGTGGAAAGAACTGTTTGACTAGACTATTTATCGTCTAATAATGGTAAAACGTGCCATGCATGTTTCTTTTGGGACTGCCAAAACATTTTTGTTTTGGTTTAACCAAAGATAGTACATAACAAGAGGGGCCACTTCTCTCTTTGAGCCAATTAAAAAAGTGTCCTCAAAATTTGGTGGCGCCCTCTTCACAAAAGCGCACTCTTTGCGAACAGAGTTACCCTACTTGAGTTTTTTTTAAATCAAAGTGAAACTAGCAAGTTTTGGGATAAATTTTGGAAGAACGCTTTTTTTAAATGGTTACGCTGACAAAAAACCTCTTCCGGAGGAAAGGGTGATGGTTTTCATCGTTTAATTTGACTTTAGAATGAAAGGCGAGAGGTCATTAAAATATTTAAAAAACTAAAACTCCGCACTGAACGTACCCGAACTGCTGATGAACAGCAGTCGATCTGCGCACGCAAGGAGGTGCTATTCCTATTCTTCTTCTGGAAAAACGAAAGAGAGCTTCAAAACAGACTGCAGCGCCATCTGAAGCAAAGAGCATACTTCCTGCGGACACTTTTTTGGCTGAGTGGCCCATCTTGTTATTCACTATCTTTGGTTTAACCAAAGATAGATATAGTAGCACCAGAGTACGATACTGTAAAACTCTGTGCTACCACCAAACAAAATAAAAGGCTTATTATATTTTGGCACAACTCTTGAGTTATGCCATTTTGCTGGTGCTGTGACGGTATATGAGACTGGTGTTTTGCCCTTCATCAGGGTGTAATTGCATGGTTCATGGAGCGCACATTTTGCAGTGAAATTTTCATAGAGAGCGAGCAGTATCAGCCATGACAGGTGTGCATTCTACTAGTACAAGTCAATGTGACGTACCCAGTGATTATTACAATGAGGGCTGTATATAATGATACATCAAACTTAGGAAATCCAAATCATACTGTTTTGAAGAAGTATGTTGTGTGCAGGAAAGGTTTTTTAAAAACTTTTTTACTTTGGTGCAATATTGACATTAATTTCCTATTAGAATTAATTAAATGAATTTTGATGTCCAATCATATCGAGGTCTGGTTGCAATTGTACTGAGTAGACAGATGTGTGGATTTCCATAGCAAATGGGGTGGTTGTTGAAAGCCGCTGGTAGTTCCTACTTCTTTTCTTTCCTTGTTTGGTTTCTGTTCAGTCTGTCTTGCTTTCTCTCAGCACTAAATGACCGTTTATGTGTCAGTGTGCTTCTCTTTTTTCAAACTCAAATTGAAACGAATGCCTGTCTCACATTTGTGCTCTGTTAGCTGTCCATGCTGGACTACAAAGTAGAAGGCCCTGGTTCAAATGCGCAGCTGGACGTACTTGAACTGGGGTCATTGTGTGAAGCTGTTTAGGCTCTCAACCTATTAGGCTCAGTCCTATTGGAGATGGATGCTAAAATCGGAAGTCCCGCCTCTTAAATTATCTTACAGTGTTGAAATGGATGTTAAACTGATGACACTGGTAGGTCCTACTTCTTTTTTTTTCCCTCTGTTGTTTCTTGCTTTTTCCTTGTTCTAAATGACCTTTATCGTGCTGATGTTTCTCCTTGAACAAACAAACAATAAAATAAACAAGGAGATGGACAATCTATCTCAGACTGGGACTCAAAGCAAGGTCTCTCTCTCTCTCTCTCTCTCTCTCTCTCTCTCTCTCTCTCTCTCTCTCTTTCTCTTTCTGTCTCCCCACGAAGCAGCATCAGTAGCCTGACTTATTTATAGATTTACAGTAATTGCTGCTGGTGTGGAAAAGTAGTTCAAATACCGATAGCATGTATTTCTTATATTGTAGAGGTTTGAGTCTTAATGTGTGTGTAGATTACCAGAGCACATTTAAGAAATGATTCCTTCGAGTTTAGGGAATTTTTAGCACACAGCATTTCCCATACCAGAACTATGCACACTGGTTTGTCTTTCAGAATGTTCCAAGTGTTCATCACAGTTTTGTTTAGAACTCTTAAGACCTTATAGATCTATGTTTCTTTCCTAATGTCACTGTTTAGAATGTTTCCAGGCAGGTTTTCAAGTTTTTAGTCATAGTTTTGTTAGAGGTTTTGGGCTTTGTGTTTCTTTTCTTCTCTTTTTGTGACTGTGAACCGCAGCCATTTGTGCAGCACTCACACACAGGCCTGGCTCTGGATTTTGATTCGGAAGAGGAGTGACTGGAAAATCAGGACTTATTGTGCATTACTGAATAGAATAGTTTATCGTGTTCTTATCTTAACAATCATATTTACAACTCCTTGAAATTACTTCAATTGAGCATGTGAAAAATGTTTTTTGTCAACTTTTCCCTTTCTATCTTGTATCTACAGATTGAATTGCTTTCTAAAGGCAGTACATTAACAATTATTACATTATATTTACTTAGTTGTTCTTTACAGAGGTTATGGTTTTGATATAAACATCTGGATGTAATGCATACAAGACGGGTCAATATTTCTTATTTTTAGCAGGCAGATTTTTATGCTTTTTAATTTCTGATGCCACACAGCAGGTGATGAAAATATTATGACTTACTGAAGTGTAATGGTTAGGTTCTTTGCTGTGGCAAACATAGCACCTGAGTTCAATTCTTGTGTGGGGAACATCTTTATCAAGTATCTCAGTCCATCTGCTGGGACGCTGTGTCCTCCTCAGCTTAGGGTTGCCCTGATATATAGGTTTGAAGCCCGCTTCCTATTTGATCTAAAATGTGTCGATGGAGGCATAAAAACACTCACATTGGGTTTTTTAAAAACTCTGTTGATGTACATTGTTTATCGTTTTCCCCAGGAGGAGAGCCACTTCTTCCGGGTGATAGGTCAAGCCAAAGCTCGGGTGATGTTCCTGGATGGCGGTGAACTCTTGACCCCTGGCCAGGAGTCTCTGGCACAGGAAGTGGTACCTGCAGACGACGATGATCCTGGTGAGAACTTTTTTCTTCCTCACGTCTGCTAGCTCAGGGTGGTCTCTCTTGGTGGTTTGAGAAAAAAATCTGAAGAATGAAATATGAAAGTTTCTTTGCATCTTGAGAGCATCTGAGCAGAGAAATGAGGGGTGAACCTAGACAACTGATGCCTGTTTCAGATTTGACACTTGAAAATAAAAAAAGAGCTAAAATCTAAAGAATTTCAAGATTTTCACAGAAATAATTTGGATATTTTGACTAACCGGCCATCCCATAAAAATGAAACCACAGTGACACACATAATGTGGGGTTGCTGACCTACTGAGATATTTTTAGACAGTGATAGAGCAGTTTATAGAGGTTTCTTTTTTGGGGGGCGTGGGGGGGGGGGGGGGGGGGAGGGGGTTAGGTTGCTTCTAATAAAGGAAAATACTAAAATACTAGCTCAATAACTGCTGAGAATTTTTTCATAGTAATAATGATAAATTACATATTTTTTGTAGCACATTTCCACTTACAAAGTGCTCAGTGTGCTGTACAATAACACAAAGAACACAGCAAGTCATCATCTCCACATTACGTGTGTCGCTGCAGTTTCATTTTTTATCATCATCATCATCTTGGCCTTTCTCTCCCTTGATCAGGATATAAGCCACAAACAAACTTTACGCGTATAAAAAAACCAGGAAGTCTCTGGATCTAAATTTTAAATTAGTCGGAACATGTGACATCAACAGTTTTTCCCTTGTAGTCTTCAGTAATGTTATATTTTACGTGGCCATCACAAAATGCTGATGTTGTCGTTTTTGTTGTTGCATCACTTGTTAGTCCCTGTGAGTGTGAAAGAAAGTGAGACAACTCCGCAGAAGAAAAATTCTCGTGAGTATGGCAGCACCCTGGCTACTGAAGTACAACTTTCTCAGCTTTAGAGCTATATAGAGAATCTTTTTTTTTTCTATTTTGATTATTTGTTTCTTTTTCTCGTTCTCACTTTCTTTATTAGATGTCTACCTTTATATTTTTATTTCCTTTCCAAATTCCTGCAATCAATTTTCTTTGTAGATAAGTGTATCTTTTCTAAATAGCTAGTACAACTTTCTCAGCATCTTTGGTTAGCAAAAAATGCTTGGGGTTTGATGTTGTTTGTTTTGGGGGTTTTTCCTCTCTTTACTTTATTTTGTAGATTTCTATCTTTTCTGTCCAATTACTCGTCATCAATTTTCATTTTAGAAAAGTTGGTCTTTTCTAATATTAGGCCCTATGTGTTGCTTTTGCTGGAAAAACAAGTTCATTTTCTAGGGCAGCGGTGAGGTACTTTGCGAAGAAAAGAGGCCAAACAGGATGTATCAAAAGTCTGTACGAGAAATTTTCTTGGATGTTTTGGACAACATGCACACAAATAATGTTATGTATGTTTGTGTTGAAGAAGAGTCTGTTCCGGAAACGTCTTAAGGGAATTTCTTCATGATTTTTATAATCCGACTTTTTGTGATTTTTTGTTAAAGTATTGGATCTCTGGTAGTTTAAATAGGTTATTTGTGAATCCACAAAACTTCCCGAGAAGTGTCAGTAGCGTCAATATATTGTTCTTCTGTATGAGTATTATTCATAGCACCACTTTTTACTTCATATGACTTTTTGAAAGATCTATAATATGCTTCGACTTTCATGAAGAAAAACAAAAAACAAAAAACTTAATTTCCCATCCAGGCAGTAAAATAATTTATTTCCCACTCTAACCTAATAAACCTACCACTTTTGGAGGTCTGAACTTCATAATGATGTTCAGGTCCATCTTTCGAATTTTGTTTCATTAATACAACATTACATAATACTGAAAGTATTCTTGCTTTAAAAAAAAATATCCATGTATGCTTATTCCCTACTTAAGCTTTCAGCACCATTTAGATAGTGTCTCCTGTTTAACTGCACTTAACTGTACCGGGTACTTTTATCTAAAAAAGGGGGAGTCTGGTCGGACACCACTGTAGGCCTATCTCTCGAAGGTTTACAAAATAAGTTTACTTTTCAGTTTGTCTAAAATTTCCTTTGCACAACTATATCTCTCAAAGGTTTAAAAAGTAAGTTGGTCTACAATTTCCTTTACACACCCTTTGAGGGTTCTTTTTATTTAATGTTTAAGATTTAGTAAGAGTAAGTCATGAAATGTGTATACATCTCTTACGTCAGAAAATATTCACCAATATCTTATGTGTAGTGGGTTGGTGCTTTATCGTGACTAATCCATACTTTCGTTTTTGTTTTTTCTTTTTAGTTACTTTCTATGTAGGTTTTCTTTCTTTCTTTTTAAAGTAATTTTTTCAAACCCAACAGCCTTCTTTTTCTTTGTTCCACTTTTTTGGCTTGTTTCTTTTTCATTGTAGACTTATAAGTGCTTCAAACGTTTGTAATTTTAGTGTACCATAAGCTTTCTCCTAAGCTGTTTTTTTTTCACTTGATTCGACGTTCATGCATCATCCTCCTGTGTCATTAAAACTCCCTGTGATCTCGACATAAGCTATTTGTCAGTGATGTCAGGCACTAATTTGGGCAAACTCCAAAATTTTCTCAAACTGGATTTATGACTATGTTGTGGAGCGGGATCAAATACATTATTTCAATGAATGATGCAGAAACTCAATTTTGATGTTTAAAATGCATGAAAAAGTGGCATGAAATTTGGGTTGAAGCTTTCCTTGTTAATTCAACAGTCTTTATCCTCTCCTGTAAATTAAGCTTCCCAGGATATAGCCCATCTGTGCCTGACACCATCTTTATACAGTGTATCTTGGACTGGTGTAAGATGTGCAGATATTTGTGGTCTCACTGGAGAAAAGTCGCAATCATTTCATAGATGTATATTTATTGTCATTTTTATAATTACTTATTATCAAACACATTTGTCATATATTCCCCCCCCCCCCCCCCCCCCCCAACCAGGCAGTGCTACTGACCGAAGTGTCTTTAAGCCATTCCCAAAGGGGGGATATTAACATGTTCTTATGGACAGTAGAATTGTAAATGGATTGGTTTATCAATGTAGACAACTGGCCAAGTCTTTCTCCTTCTAGGCATTTTATCTGGGACTAGCTCCCACAACATTTGAGGAATACAGAGTCAGAGGCAAAGATTCAGAATTCATTTAAAAAACATACCTTATGAAATGTCATCTATGAAATACCCTCTTGATTGTTAGTCTTTCTTATCTATAGTACTCTGATGTTCATAATGTGATGTGATGTATCAACGAATGTATGCTCATGTTAGTGTTAATCCAAAGAGCTTATGTACGCACGTTCATCCACATGTATTTTGTGTTATGATGAAAGTATTGTATAGTGTCTAGAGCTATACAGGAGTGGATGCTATAGAAGTTAATATTCTCATTATCATCATTATAATAATAATAATAGGGCCTTATTATTATTATTATTATTATTATTATTATTATCATTATTGTTGTTGTTGTTGTTGTTGTTGTTATTGTTGTTGTTGGTATTATTTTTATTGTTGTTATTATTATTATTTTTATCATTATTATTATTTCGTCTTCTTCTTGCTGTTATTATTATTATTATACTTACTATTACACTTTAACTGTCTCTGTATCTTCTGTGCAGAAGGGAAAGGCGTGCTGGCCATGTCCCCCCCGGCCCTGGTCACCATCAACAGCGTGATGGCCAACGACACATTCCAGCCGGCCGTGCGGGAGATCTACGCCGGCTGTGTCAGGACCATGGCCGTGAGCCAGAAGAAGGTGGGAACTCGCACCGATAGTCTGTCGCTCATTTCTACAACTTGTGCTCACTTTTGTGGTCTCTAACGTTTTTCATGTATGTGTAAGCGTCACACGGTACTGATGTACTCTAGTATGTGTATGCACAGGAGATCTTGGGTTGTGAAGTGTTAATGGTCTTCATTTGGTTTAGTTTTCTAGACATTAATAAATTTATCATGTTTTGTTTGTGGTGGCAGAAATATTATGTTCATTAATAAGAGGTTCCAGTTGAAGTGTGTCTACAACTGAAGAGACATATTTACCTACGTCGTGTACAGAAAACAAATTTTGAATACTACGAAGCATCAGAGAATAAGAGAAACATTGGTGCTCAGCTCAGTACTCTATGAATTGGGGTGTTGGGGATGGTAGATGATTCTAGTCATCAAAACGTTGAATTTCTAACAATATGGATGGTGCCCCAGGTAACAGAAAGACTTGAACTAGACTTTCAAAAGTGCACAACCAAAGATAAAGACATAATTTAATCTGAAGAGTTTGTTTCCAAGTGTGTTCAAGTGCTTCATTCCATTCGCCTGTCCTCTCTGACCTATAATCTTTTCTTTGGTTTAATGGAGCCAACAATATTCACAGGATATCACTATAAGTAGGCCTAGAGAGTTTGAATGAACCTGATCTTCCACTTAAATACTTTTCCTTGGTGCATATTTTTCCATTGAAATTGTGAAGTAAAACCAGCTTTAAGAACCAATGTTGTCATCTCTCAGATATCTCTGTATTTAATACTCTACTTGTAGGTCCTACTGTTAGCCTTTGTATAACGAATATTATTTGCACCTTTCTGATTTGCTCATGCACAAATTGTTTTGGGCCATAGATGGTCTTTTGCAACATCGTGAACTTAGTTTTTTTGGGTTATTTTTTTAACTGAATTTGTTTGCTTGCGGTGTACACTTGAATTTCCATTCTTTTGGTTTGGTTTTTTTTTCTGCTGTGTTTGACTTGGATTTTTTATTTTTCATTATATTTGGAAGAAAATATTACAATCTGTCGATATACTCCAAAAGGTATATCAAAATCATTAACTGTTTTCATTTATGTATTATTATATCGCATAACTCTATGATTTGACTTTGTATTTTTTTCCTCGCCTTGTTTCCTCCCCTTGTTCATGTTACATCTGTCGCTGTGTGCAACCCAGCCCGGAAAAACGGTACAGTATTGTTACATCATCGCTTCCGCTTCGCTCACGTGAACAGCTGACTGAGTCTCGTATTCGGCTATAGATAGATCCAACTTGCTGTAAAGAAAAATTTGTGAAATTAATAATTAATCTCTCACGTTTTATCTTTTATCTTTTCCCAAGTTAAAAATTGTGGATTTCTACTTTCCTTTCTAGAGTAACAAAAAAGGCTTATTTGTGTCACGACGCGGTGGAATCAGACGCTCGTCAATTTTTTGGCATGTGGAGTTGTTATTGGTATCATCTGAAAGCTGATTTATTTGCCTTGCTTCCAACGAAATAAATATCCATGTTTCTTTGATAGAACTCAAGATATTTGTGATTGAAGGAAGTGAGTTCGCCTGGTTTTAGTGGTGAAATTAGTGAGAAAATGGCTGCCAAAATTTGAAACTCCAGTGGCCAAAGACTCGAGTCTTTGAAAATTTTAAATGACATATTTTGTGCCTTCAATCAATGTTTTTCAGTAAAATTCACATGGAAATGTGTTTTTATGTTGACATAAGAGTGGTTAAGCCAAAAAATTAAGATTCGATTAAAAATTTCCAAACTGGTGGGAAAAATGCATGTTTCTCCGATTTCGTTATTTTGACGAGTGCCTGATTCCACCACTCTGCCTCACATTTACTGAACAGACCATTCATAGTCTGAATAGTCGGATGGAAAATAGTTCAAGAAAGCCTTCGATTATCTCAAGTTGAAAAATGAAGATTCCCCACCAGTATACAGGTAATCTTTCATTGCTTGTAGGCTTGTTTTCAGCTGTTCAACGTCAATTTCACTTCTATTGTACATACAGTGAAAAGTGGGTTTCTCGAACTTGTCAAGGCGTCATTCAGTTTGAGTTCAGATGAAGGTAAACTTTAATCCTCCTTTCTACATTTTCTACAAAATGCCCAGGCAGCTCCAAGTCTGAGTTAGTTGTGAGTTAAAGAGATTACACAGCTATATCAACAGCAACAATGCTCTGTCAAAGCTCAGTTGATATCATGCTGCAACAAACATTTTTGAAGATGAGAAATCAGTTGTGACGTCATAGTTCAAGAAATTCACTTTCCAGTCAAAGTTCTTCTTCTTCTATATGCTACCTGTGTAGTTATGTCTACACACACACAAATACATAATATATTGGTGTGTGTCTAGGCTATATTATATATATATCATATCATATCTCTCTATATGTATTCAAAATATTTATGTTAATGTACAGAATTATTTAACTTACATGAAAACACTAATCATATCTTCTAACATATGTTATTATATTACTGCTTTTGCTTATCTAGATGTGATCGCATGTTTACTCATTGCTTAGTAATTGTACCAAAAAAGTTTTGACCAATAATATTCAGATATTATAGTAGGCCTACATGTGTTAGAAATTCTTCCATCAAGCCATCACAGATATCAGAAAAAGTTTGACAATCATGCACCAGTGTCTGTATACTTCACGGGAAGCTGAGACTGTTTCTGTCTGTTTTAGGATCTGCTTGAGTAATAATAGTTGAAAAGTGCATAAAGCGTGCTGTAGAGCATGGATGTGCGTTATATAAATGCAATTATTATTATTATGATAATTATTATTTTAATTAATATCATTATTATTATTATTATTTATTATGATTATTATTATTATTATTATTTCACTTTCTGTTATTTTTTCCTAAAACTATAGGGATTTTTACCTCGTTGCACTTGTTGACACTTTCTGATTCGGTTCCTGTTCTTCTTCCTTTTTTCATTTCTTTGTTAGAGTGGAGGCCTAGCTTCTCCAGTGTTTTTGTTATTGATTGTTTTATGATGGAAGAGTCTGTTGTTGTTGTTGTTGTTGTTGTGAACAATGTGTGCTCTTTTGTATGTTGTTTCTTTCTAAGTAGCCCAGGTCTTTCAGTGGGTAGGACTTTTCACTGTTGCAAAATCTGACCTCATCTTTACTCTATGTTCTCACTCTTTTCGTCTGTCTCTGTTAAAAGTGTATCTGTGGGGGCTCTCGTGATCTAGAAGTTAAGGTGTTGGCCTCTCATTCAAAGGTCCCGGGTTCAAATTCGGGTGGCGACCATAAAATTTTCTTCTCTAAAATTGTCTCCGTTCACCTCCTTTCCTGCTCTCTAGCAATTTTCTGCCGTCTGCTTTCGTCTCCTCTTTCTGCCCCCACCCTCTCACCCCTTACTCTGGGTTCCTGACTCTTTCTGCAGCCTTTCTACTGCTACTCCTTGGCTCCTTCTTACTGCTGTCTTTCAGCTACACCCCTGATCTTCTGGTAAGAAAGATCTACACCTAGCCTTCTCGGACAAGGGCGAAAAATATCGGAGGGCCCATGTGCAAGTTGCACACGTTAAAGATCCCTTGGTGGTCTAAAATTGATAAGAGTAGGCTTCGGCCGCCACCCGGGCAAAATTCAAAATTTCCTACCTGCTGAATAAGTTTCATGTGTCCCGTGCAGTTATACGACCTTATGCAGTAGTGAGCGCCGTAAAACACTTCCCCCCCAAAAAAAATTAAAATAAGTGTATCTGTCTATCTGTCTGTCTGTCATTCAGTCTATCTGTTTGACTGACTGTATACGTCAGTAGGAGTGAGAGTAGATCTTTTTATTCCTCGTTATTTCTCTGTATAGATTTTATTTTTACTCCTTTGTAGTAAATGGGATACATGTAGGCTACAGATTTTTTAACAATTCATACTTTGTTTTTTCATAATCTGTCCTTTCTATTCACTCTCCCTCTCTGGCTCTGTCCCTGGTTTTTTTGTTAGGTTGATTGTTTGTTTGTTTTTTGGGGGTAATTGTTTTTTTTGTTGTTGTTGTTTTGTTGGGTTTTTGGTTTTTTGTTGTTGTTTTGTTTGGGGTTGTTTTGGGGTTTTTTTGTTGTTGGGGTTTTTTTTTGGGGGGGGTGTTATGAAATCTGTTAATTAATTGCATTAGTTATTAGACTAAAGTAGAAGAATATAGGCCTATGATAATTCTCTACTCTAACACCAAGTTAAAAAGTTCTTTTGTTTTATTTGAAAAAGTGATGCAGAAATGGGACACTTACATTAGACTTGATGATGGCTCTTTGAAAGCTTGCAACTCGTCATAGTTTTGATAGAATGAAAAATTCCTTTAACTACTGTACTTTCAAACTAAAAGAAAAAAAGTTCATCTCTGAAATCATTATTGTGTAATGTAATTGATATATGATTCACACCCCCATCAACGCAATTTAGATCATAAAGGAATCAGGCTGTTTGGTGCCTGCCTATCAGGGATACAGCAGACAGATGGAGAGACTCAAGTTTTAAAATCTCACTAGGGAATTGTACTCCTGTCTTCTGCTTGCATTGTCAGATAGCCTAACCCCTACACCACGGACGCCAGTTCTTTGAGATTGTCACCCACAATTTTTGTTGTTCTCATAAAATTTTGTCCATTGTCTTCTTAAAGCTATATTCATCACCATCGTCCTCTGTTTTATTTAGTGACCCACCTTTCACACCCGACTCGTGGACCGTGTTTCTTTTTAGACTGTTATGTTATTCTTTTCTCATTTGCTGGAGACCAAACTTACGTACAATTAAGATAAAAGTTCATTAATGTAATTTTTCAACTTTAAGTGTAGATCAGACTCGACCAGGTCTAATGCTCTTTGACAATGTCAGGTTTATACTTACTTTTCCATCAGTTAGTTAAATAAGAAAAAAAAGCATTTCGTTTAGCCTGACCTTTTGTCACAAATCATGCTAAGACATTGAATAGAAGTCACCCTGAAGAGTGATTGTGTGTACAGAATTCATGAATCAAGTTCTTGCTTTTGTGCTTGAATATAATGAAGCTGGTTTTTGTTAACAATTTAGTTTACAAATTCACGATTCCTTCATGAAATATGAAAACATTCAAAACGCCCTAAACAATAAGGAAACTGTACAATACCCTTTTTACTCCCATTACACAGTCTCTCAAATGTCAATCTCAAGAAAAAGTTGCTTTGTGTTATGTTATTGGGCCATTCTATGAAAAATGAACCTGCACTGTAACAGCTACTCTAATAGTAAATACTGTAGGTTAACGCAGGAATGATGAACTGCTGAAAAAATCTTTAGTAGTGATAGGGCATTTCTTCTTTTTAAGAATAAGAGACATTTTTTTTAAAAGAAAGGATGATTCTATCAGTTCGCTAATTAATGAATTATCACCTGCTGGAATTTTTTTTCAGCAGATTATCGTCTCCAAGGTATGAAGTTATGCAGTTTCGTCTTTCATGGAGGGGCCCTCTTAATAAAAATAAGATATTATTGTGATATAATTATTATGTTTTGTGACGAAACTTGTAACAATGCAGTGTTATGATGCCTTTTCATGGAATCGGTGCTAAATAATGTTGTGGTTGTCTAATCTTGTGAAAACAGCAAGATGGGATGGGTAATTTAGTCAGATTTAATCACTGTCTCGGCAATATAAATTCCTTTTCCAAAAATAAACCTATTAAGTAAAGTTTATATCATATTATGTAATTACTTTTTTTTAGTTTTTCATCAATTTTCTTTATTTGACTTCTATTTGCTCTCAGTTTGTTTGAACTTAATATAAAATGTAAAGGACTCTTGCAATCCTAACAAACTGTCCAAAGTAAGATCTCGACTCACTACAAAGAAATGCTGGCGAGGCACCACAAGTGAGTTGTGCTCTTTCCCGAGTTTCGGTTGAAATAACCATAACTTGAAACCAAAACCAAATCCTTGGCTACTCTATGGGAGTGATTTAATGTAAGTTGACCCTGGTATGTATGAAAGCTTAGTTAAGAATATTGTTGACAAAGACTTCAATATTTGTGCATTTTGTCATTTCAGAACGGTGAATTTGTGGTAGAGGGTATTCAAACTCTTCTTCAAAAAGGTTTTACAGTGGAGCCTCAGAGGGTGAGTGGACACACGGTTGTTGTGTGTTGTACTTTCTTATGGACACTATAATAATATAGTTCTTTAGGAGGGGGGGGGGTAACTCCCACATCTGCCAGGGCCGTTCCTTGTTGTGTGGTATACGCCTCAGTGAAAAAACAAATAATTAATTTGTGAGTCATCGTGGAGAAATCATGCACTCGTCTAAATGATTAGTTCAAAGAAACAGGTATTGTTCCTTCAGTGTGGCAACTTTTATTGAAATTTTTATTTTTGGCTCAACACCTTTAATGTCCATATAAAATACATTTTCATGCGAATTTTCCTGAAAAACGTTGTATAATGGCACAAAGTATGTAAGTTTTCAGTTTTCAAGGACTCTCAGGCTATAGAAGTTACCAAACTTTGGCAGCCATTTTCTAGATGATTTAACCTCTGAAACCATACTACGCCCACCTTCTTCAATCACAAATATTTTGACTTCGATTATAGATATATGGGTGGGGGAATTTTCATAGAAAGCAAGGCAATAAATGAATAAGATTTCAGATGATACCAATAACTCCACATGCCAAAAAAAATTGACGAGCGCCTGATTCCACCACGTCATGACACATTTGTTATAAATCTTCCTCTTGTGGGAATGGAAGCTCATGTCCTTTAGCATACAGTATACAGTGTAATACAAGATTAGACCTACCCAAAAAGAAATAAAAAAGACTTCACCCCCCCACCCTCACCCCCCCCCCCCCCTCCCAATCACCCCTTTTTTTAAAAGGTCATCCTCCGAAGAGAAAAAGACTGCCTTGTTTAAAAAATCTTCCCCTTTTGAAAGTCAAACATCATGCTCTTATCATGCAAGATGAAGCCTACTACTACCAACAACACCACAGCTGTTATGAGGCAAAGTTCTGTTGTTGATTCTCTGTTTGCTTCCATCTTTTTGCAGGGAATGGTGGAAGCAGGAACCAAGAAACCCATTGTGTTTACATGGACACCCCCACAAGGATTTGATGTAAGTAAAGACGGATTGTGGGTTGTGGATTGCAGAGAAATTAATTTTTAATGAACGGCAAACATTGATTGCAGATGTCTGTTTCAGATCTGGCACTAGAAGAAGATAGAGTTGAAGTAATGAAAGATAGAACCTTTTTGTCTGCTCGGGACAAAAAATCTTGGTAATCTCCTTTTAGAGTGATGCCAACTCTAACCCTTTCACTGCTATAGAATCTAAGATATATCCTAGACGTCTGAGGCCAAAATAGAGGAGAAAATATTGATGACATTAGCTGTGCCGTTCACAGTTTAAACTGCAGATTCAGAAAAACCTACACTTGCTTCTAGAAGCAGTAAATTATTATATTGATTAATTGAAGTCTCATAACTCATAAGCAATGGTGAAATTTCAAGCGAGCTATAAAATTAAAATAGCTACTTCTATGAGGATCTGATACATTATGATTAAATTTGATGCCAAATGCCCCACAGAAATAAAATGAAGGATTGCCATGGCCAGAGACAGTTTCAATAAAATGAGTTTAACCCTGAAAAGATAGAATTATCTCGATGGCACCAAAAGTTAGGGTTTCAGAAGGCGATGTGTGGTCTGCCCATCTATGTGGCTGTGAATGCTGGGTACAGTCAAAACCCATTGTCGAAGAGAGAAGTGGTTGTCTTATTTAGACACATGGACATCTTGGACATTGTCATTATAGTTATAGGCCTATTATTTTTTAAAACACAAGAATGGAAATTCATTAGCTCACTGAAGAGGTCTCCCGTTGAAAACACGGGATGGGCTGTGAGTGTTGTCAGACGTTTCCCGGTGAAAACATGGGATTGTCATTATAGCCGTTTAGCTTCTATATATATAAATGCAGCTAAAAGCGTGGGATCCAACTTAGACATATGCGTAGCCATGTTTCACTCCACAAAATAATTACCTGAAATCAGTAAATAACTTTTTGATCCAGAGCATTTTTTAGTTAGCCGACTGCCTTAAAAAAATCATGACAAATAATCTAGCAGAGATAGTCGCTTGTACTTAAGAACGTTTATTGCTCTTGTGTTGTTCTTGATTGGGTCAAAAGGGCATTGCAGTTGGTTAAATGGTTCAGATTTTGTATAATTTTGAAAAAAACTCAAAAACCTTCAGTCTGTTGCTGGTACATCGTAAAATCCTTCAGCCTTCAGTGAGTTAGAGCAGGTTCAACTGTGTGTTGATGCGCATGCTCCTTTTTACTCAAACCTAAATTCACAAATGATCAAAGTTTTTTTATTTCCGCCAACAGCCGAGCAACACAATAGAAGAGACGGCCATCTTGACGCTGCGATGTGACGTCACCGAGCAGATTCCGCTGATGATTCGAGCCATGGTCGTCTCCGAATGAGAGAGGAAGGCGGCTGCGCAGGGGAGAGAAGCCTGAAGGAGACAAGCAAGCATCGTGATCTGGCAGGAAGTTGTCGGGACGGTTCAAGGCGTACAACACATAAACTTCCCTCACAATATTACATGATGGATGTCACACCTTGTCCTCTCAGCTTCCAGAACTTTCCGATTACTATTGTGATATATTTTTTTCTTTTCTAATCTTCAGAATTTTCACACCCATGTTAGTAAGCAACATCCAGCGTAATCCAAGACATTTCACGTTCAGAATCTTGAATAGACTATTTCTGTTCAAACATAACAGAAAAAGACTTTCACTTCAGAGACTAGTAGGAGCAGTTTGAGCTCGAGGCAAAATAGAAGGTTTTACTAGGACACTAAGCCTACTTTCTACTTTTCATCCAAAAAAAAAATTGTACTGTAGTTTGATGAACAAACACTTAATGAAAAAAAATGAGAAGATGAAGAAAAAGAGAAAGAAAAAATAAAACTCTGTTATAGTTATATCGAAGATGGAAAAACAAAGTGGCAGGCATTTTTATCATACCCATAACTAGAAATCTTTTTTTTAAAAATAATGTTTTAAAAATTAGGCAACTGTGCTATGATGACTGTCACGATATCTGAAAAACTTGACTCAACTATAAATGAGAAGGAATAGGAAACTTATGAAAGTGTCACCATGCCCTACCTCCCTCCCTCTCCCTCCCTCCCTCTCCCTCCCTCCCTCCCTCCCTCCCTCCCTCTCTCCCTCCCTCCCTCTCTCTCTCTCTCTCTCTCTCTCTCTCTCTCTCCCCCTCTCCCTCTCTCTCTCTCTCTCTCTCTCTCTCTCTCTCTCTCCCTCCCTCTCTCCCTCTCTCTCTCCCTCTCCCTCTCTCTCTCTCTCTCTCTCTCTCTCTCTCTCTCTCTCTCTCTCTCTCTTTCATGTACCAGAAGAATTACCAAAAGCCACTTTGCCATTTTTAAATTGAATGTTGTTCTTTTTATTCGGTATCATTTGCCAAACTATAAAGCCAATGTAATAGTATTCATCACTTAACTAGCGATGCTGTGATATTATTATTAATGATTGACACAACCTATGGATGATTTTGACAAATAAAGGAGAGGAACTTCTCTTTACAACAGTCTCAGTATTGTTACTCTTCCATCATCGACCATAATAACAATGACAGTTGACAGTTTACCTGGCCATGTCTGATGATGATCAAGATATCAGCTGAGGAAATTATTTCTTAATTATAGAAAAAGAAACAGCAAGGATTGAGATGATTTATGGCTAGTGTTATGGCCAATGAGACTAATTCTAGCAGAAAGAGTTTGCCACATTCGGAGCATTTTTTTAAAACCTTCACATCTACTTGTGGATGTGCACAGCAAGCGGACTTCTCTTGGCTTCAGCATTTTTAAGTTGTGAAGCCTCATATATAACGTGTTGCCCTCAGTGGTTTCTGCTCTCTGATTGGGTCTGTCGGGAACTCTTCAACCTATGCTGGATTGTTTACATCACTATCCGTGGGTACCGGTTGTCTGGTATTTAGGATACTGTACTCGTCATGAGGTTGCAGATTTGGGAGTTCAAGCTTCAGGCCCAATGTTGTGTCCTCGGGAAAGGCACTTTACACAAACTTTCCTCACTTCACCTAGGTGTGAATGGGTACCTGGCCATAGACAGTGAAAGATCTTGTCATTATGTTAGTGTTTTAGCACCCATGAAATGGCAGTTGCAGTATGCTTCACAGAAAGTTGAGATTGTTTCAGAATGCTATCAGGTCTGCTGGGGTAATAATTTGAATTGTAAAGCGCAAAGAGCTTGCTGTTAAGTAGGAATTTGTGCTATACAAATGCTATCTATTATTATTTGTTTGTTTTTGTTTGTTTGTTTTGTTTTTGTAAGTGTTTTGCGGCGCTCGCAACTGCACACATAATGTCATATGAGCGCGCGGGGCACAATAAACTTTTTCAGTTGGTAGGAAATTTTGAATTTTGCCCAGGTGGCGGCCGAAGCCTACTCTTATCGATTTTAGACCACCAAGGGATCTTTAACGTGCGCAACTTGCACATAGACCCTCCAAGATTTTCCGCCCTTGTCTGAGAAGGCTAGGTGCAGATCTTTCCTACCAGAAGATCAGGGGTGTGACTGAAATACAGTAGTAAGAAAGAGCCAAGGAGTAGTAGTAGAAAGGTGGCAGAAAGAGTCAGGAGCCCAGAGGAGGGGGCAAAGGAGGTGAGGGGGTGGGGGCAGAAAGAGGAGACGAAAGCAGACGACAGAACATTGCCAGAGCCAGAGAGCAGGAAAGGAGGTGAAAGGAGACAATTTTAGAGATTTTATGGTGTTGATGTGTTTCTCTTTACTCAAACAAATGGAAATTCTCAAAAGCTGATTTTGTTTTTTTATCTCAGAATACATTAGTGGCATTAGTGTTATAATGAATAGGCTCTTCAGTGTTGCATGAAAAAGACTAAAATTTCATTTCCGATTGGAAAGTTATTTTATCGAGTTGCTCCATCTGCCTGCTAGGTTACCAAGTCCTTCTCTGTCCAGGTTGGTCCACAATGCCAACAACAACCAGGTTGGCCCTCGCAGGCCAGCTCTATGCAGACCGCCTCCTGTGCCATCTTAACTGGACCAATGCAAGTGCAAAACATTTACAATCATTTACAATCAGCTCAAGAAAACATAGTTCCTAAACCGTATAATCCAACAAAGTTATCTCAAAGAAACTCTTTTTTTTAAAATAAATGTAGGGTTTTTTTATTTTTAAGCTCCCATTGAGACAAATTTCAAAGAAAACGAAATAACAGAAAAACAATATTTATATCACAAGTCGATACAAATGCTTCAGATTAGAAAACACCTAATTCTAAAAATGTCAAATCCAACAATAAAGATTCCAGCATTGTTACTTCAAAGAAGTTGGGGGGTTGTGAAAAAAGTTAACAAAAAACTTGCAGGTCTTCTACCCATCTGTTTTCAAAAGTGACACAAAGAATCCAATATTCCTATCACATCATGTTCAACAGAAACAACAATTTCGCGTAACCATCATCGACCGTGGTCTGCCTCATTTCCTTTTGCCCTTTCCCTTCAGGGAGGGCAAAATCACAAGAAATACTCATCCCTTCCATCCACAGAACCCGCAAGTCGAGTCGTTCATATAAAAATATAATTCCAAACATATTGGCCACGTCTTTCTTTTTGAGCATACCAAAGAGGTCGAGATATGAAAGGAGGGACATAATACGTGGGCATTCTACTTACTCTATGTCTGCCGTCTAGACAAAGCTGTGCCATGCATACTGCTTAATCCTCATCAATATCAATGGACAGCAAAATATATATAAAGTGTGCTGACACAATGAGTTACTTCTCGGATTCAAGCCTTATGGAAATATAAACATCAAGCTTATAAGTGAAGTTTTACCATTTATACGAATGAAATAATACGAGGCATGTTATACATAAAAAATAGAGCATCAATAGAAAATCTACTAATTTGATCTCGATGTTGATTTTGTACCAATATCTCCATTTGTGGATTGCAAAAAGTAACTCATTTTGTCAGCACTACACACATATTTAATTGACAAAACATATTCCCTTCACTAGGATCTAACTCCAATCTTTTGCATTCTGAAGAACAAAGAACAAATAATCTATTCCGTACAACTCGGCTGCTACAACGAGACCAATTCATCTGTCTCCCTCATCGGGTGTTGGCACAAAAGTTCCAGAGACCGGTGTGAAGGCGACAGAAAACTGGACAGTTGACCACACCTCCTGGTCCAAGGCCTCGTCAGACTGGACGTCCATGGAGGAGAGACGGTGCTGAGGGATCTGAACAAACAATCAAAGGGCAGATGGGGGGGGGGTGGCAGCAAAGGAAAAGATGAATTGATCAAACCGCATAAAAATCATCAAAAATCTCATTAAAAAATACGCTGTACTTATCTGAAAGTGTGTACATAAACCATACAGGCAAAGAGTAGAAAACTACTAGTATATACAGTAGAACACGGCTATAGCGGGACATTTGGTTCCAGAAGAAAAACCCCGCTGTAGGCGAGTTCCCGCTTCAGGAATGCAAAGGAGAAATTACAGAAAAATTTCTTTAAATCCACATCAATGAAATTTGCGCTTTTGATTAGTCTTCTTTTTCTTGTCAACTTCGTTGGTTATCTCGGCCTTTAATTCGAGTGAGAAGCATTTCCTTTTGTCCTTGTTGAAAGTCATCTTTTCCTCGGTCTCGTTGCTTGTGCTGTCTATCGTACCGGTAGGCCACTGTAGAGCTGGTGAAGTGGATGCGTGCGTATGCCTATGAGCATCAACAATCGCAATTCAATGAATCAGGAATCACACACTACACGCTCTCTCCTCTTCTTTTACTTTTTAGCCTAGCCTAGGCCTAGGGTTATGGCCTATACGCTCTCATACAGAGCGTCAAAGGTACGGCACATCACTTTTGGAGTGGCTCACGTAACGCGCTCTCCGCACCATCTCTCTCTGCCGCCTGCCCCACCTCGATCATCTCTGGACTGGCCAATCACAACGCCGCACCGCTGACTGCCAGTTTGAAGCCCGCCTACAGCCCCCCAACTCCCTTCCCCCCATCTAGAGCTCGCGTGATCTCTCCCGCTGTATCCAAGTTCGGACCTTTCCTTGCCCCGTTAAACCCGAGCACAGGTAATTGACTTCACATAGAGAAAAAAAAGGGGGGGATTCCGGTAAGGTCCCACTGTAGGGATGGTCCCGATGTAACAGGTGCCACTATAGTCGTGTTCTACTGTATATAAGCGTATAATAAGTGATAAGACAATACATATTTGGTTTGTTTGAGTAAAGAGAAGCACATTGAAATGATAACATCCATTTAGTGAAGGGAAAAGCTTGATACACAAACAAGAAAAAACAACACAGGGAAAGTACGAATGTTGGACCCCCTCCCTCCCCCCAGATTAGACCAAACAGTCAAGGGAAAAATAATATAAGCCACAAGTTACTGAGAAAGGAAATTAATGTTCCACTTAATTCTAGTTTTACTACACATGCAACATTAAGAGGTCATTATATACTTGCTAAAGATTAGAAGTGTTTCTTGAGAGTAAGAAAGAAAGGAAAGAAGAGAGATAAGGATGATAGATGCTTGACAGGAAAGGAAGAGTGAAAGAGGAGCAAACCCCACCAGAGCACCTGCTAACCACCCACAGGAAATTTATGAAGAACAAAATTCAACGGCTAGCATATATATCAACATCCCAACAAAAAAGATGGAGATATTCAATGAAAATTTTCTCCAGTCGGACGCAACAATTCCACTAACACTAACAGCGGCACAGACAAAAACGTAGCCCTAACACTGACCGTGACAACAGAGTATCCAAGGATCTGTAGATGTCTTATATCCACTAGTGTATGACCTGTCAGTTGACCGCTGTCCTGGCAAAAGTCGGAACTTGACAACAACTGCACTGCAACCCTAGGAAAATGAAAAAAATACAACAAAACTTCTGAGAAAAGGAAAAATGTAAAAATTGTAGAAGTTTAACACCCCTTGCATCACTGTAAATTTATTCAAGAGGCGAGACCTTGAAATTTAACTCTCCAACAGGACCGAGCCAAATGGGAAAATTCTCATAAAACGTCTTTCCCAAGCACACAACATCGAGCAGAGCTGAGCCATTAACCCCTGAATCCATCATTTTGTGATTATGAGTCTGGTAGTCAAACCACTAAACTACTGACACCACCAAACCATCCAGAGCACTGATAATTATGACTTTGAAACAAATAAATTGTGAGATCATCACAGCACTCCTTGTATATCAACAACACGCATCAGCTGACACTTGTTACCACAAGGTCGACAGTGACAACGTTTTCAATAACAGTTATACCCAGTGCACACTGCAAATCTGATTCAACAGATTAAGTCAGGGCCAGCCACATTTTTCTTCATGGATGGGACAGAAGCTAGCATTTAGGGAAAATATTACAGAATCAATAAATTTGACAGTGACTTTCAAAATCAAATGCATTAGTTTCTTAAGGTTGCAAGTTGAATCAGTCTGATTGAGCCACAATGGTAGTTTTGGCACAATCCATAAATGAAAAAAACTCACCGGACTGACTCAGTATGATGAATCTGACTGGCAGTGTGCATTGGGAATAACACTACAACAGAAACAAGCTTAACGACGGAACCCGTAGAGATCTGCATTGTACTCACTTTTCAAAACTAGGCATCAGTACTCACTTTTCATAGTCATTCCGCAAGTTGTCTGACGGTATCACAGGGAGGCCGTTTGAGTCAAACATCAGGAGGAAGTCTGGAGAAAAAGAAAAAAATCGGAATTATTATCTATTTTTCTCTTAATCATTTTCATCTATTATTATTATCATTATTATTATTATTATTACTATTATTTTTATTATTATTATTATCATTATTATCATTATTACTACTATTATTATCATTGATATAATTATTATGATAAAATGATATTACAATAATCCCTACCAGAATCCCTGTTCTAGACAAACTGAGAGAACGTTTTAGTCACCTATGTGGTGTCCATACGGACTATGCTGAGACGTTTTCACAAAACTTTCGGCTCCAAACACACGACAGAGAGAGCTCATGAGTCTGTCACTTAGGAACTTCAAGTCATCGCTGCCAGACAGGCCTGAAAATGTAACCAAAGAAAATTTGTTTAAGTATAAACTCAAAAAGATCATGCGCTTCGAATCCCCATTTGCACCACACGACTCAGTATTTTAAGGCATTTTCTTTTTCAAACCAATCTAAAGATGCTCCAAATAAAGACCAGTAAACTTGTTTTCCGTATTAATTCCTCATCATCATCAAAGACAGATACAGTGGAACTCGGATTCAACGAGCTCGGTTCAACGAGAACTCGGATTCAACGAGATGAGATAGATTCCCCGTTTTTTTTCTTCTTTAATATCATTAAAAATAACCCGGATTCAACGAGCACTTAAATCAGCAAGCTCGGATTGAACGAGGTCACTTCCAGGGTGAACAGCCCCCGCAGACGTGGCTTCTCTCATTTTTCTCCCAGAACGAACTTTATTAATTCCCGGAAACCATCCATTGCACCTGCATTGTGAACCATTATTCACTTAGCCGATTGCATGCGACCAATCAGCGGCCTTTTTTCATACCAACACATGCGTTGTTGGCATGTGCACATGTCTACTCTAGCATGTGTTGGGGTCGGATGAGCGGCCTGCACACGTGTGACTGTGTGTGCATGTCGGAGAGGGCACTAGCGGTCCGGGCGTTGAACGTCGCAGATACAAACACGTCACAGTCTTTTTTTTCCCCTCTGTAACTGATCATTATTACAATGATAAGCTAGTCTTGATGAGTTATGAATTGTGCGCTGGTCTATGGAATCAAAAGTTGCCGTATGCTAGGCTCTACACAGCAACACAACTTTTTGGTAAACAATCGAGATGACACAGGCGAGTGCGTTTGAACGAATCGGGCTATTATTTTACGCAGCCCATACTATGCAGGCATTTCAGGCACTACTTGTGACTTCTCTTTATTCATTACTTCCTCAGTGCCCGTAATTATCTATACAAAACCTCATGTTTGCTATAACGAACACTCGGATTCAACGAGATTTTAGGCCAGGCCCAGCGACCTCGTTGAATCTGAGTTCCACTGTATAACCTAGGACACAGCCACAAGTTTCACAAATAACAAAAATGTCAAGAGATGGAAAAACATCCCCCTACAACGCCACTCTACCTGGACAGTTACTGGATCAGTAACAAACTTAACTCTTTCCAAGTGCAATTATATCACCACTCATATGTAATACATAGACTGGTGGCTCAGTCGCTTCCTGCATGGAAAGTTTTTTTTTAATCCATCTATTTTCTCTCAAACTCAAAGCAAACAGACCCAAAGTGGCACAAGAACACCAACAGGGAAACGCTGTCGGTAAAATATAACATTCTCATAGTTTCATTTCTATCTACTATCTCTTTATGGGTGTCTTTGACAAAAGCAAGTTGTTTTCATTTTTCTTTCATCTGTTTGCCAATGGTTTTGATTACCTTCATTACATTCTTTAATTTTTCTCTCACCTTTCAGCAAATGTTGCCTGACAGAATTAAAAACAGTCGAACCATCTCTAACGACAACCTGTCCGAGACAATCACCTGTACAAATGACCCCTTCCTACTTCCCTACTTGTATTTTTTCTACATTTTAATGTCTTTGTCAAAGAGGAACACCTGCTTTAGATAACCACTTTTTTCATCCATGGTGGTTACTTTTCTTATACAAGTTTTGACTGAATTTTCCTTCCTCTTACCAGCCGGCAAATGTTTGTGGCAAAACCAGGTCAGGTTGACATGAGGACACTCCAGACAGATGCTTCTGTTGAGCAGCGCCAGGTTCCCTAAGGCACTCTCTCTCTGCGATTTGGAGCTCTCTGGAATTTTTAAAAAAACAAAAAAACAACAAATGTTGAGTTTCTTTGGGGGGGAAAAGCACACAAGCACAACAGCTATCATCGACTTTCACTATGTAATTTTGTTCTCATTCTGACATAATTTTCTTTTTTCAGTTCTAATTAGCATTCTAGACACTTCATAAATTGATAACAGGTGCAACTAATACTAGACTCATTGTAGTGAAAAGTTAAGAAAAAAGAAAAAATCAGATGGACAGACAGAAACAACACTGAAGAAAAGAAAAGAAGTAGGACTTACAAGCGAGACCCTCCAACCACAGATACAGTTGAGCAATTTACTAAGAAAAAAAGCAAAAAAACAAAGAACAAATTCACCAAAATATTCACAAAACACAACCTCCAAAAACACAGCAAAAGCTTTCATCAACAATGCTGAGTTACTGAATGCTTTCCCCTCCTTTGAGCTAAGTTCCTCACCTGCCAGTTCTTTCTCCAGTGAAAGAAGAAAATCTAAACTGAAGATCTTCTGTAGCACGTCATCGGGAAAAACCTCCACCATTGACAGGTACAGAGCGATTTCAACCTGAAACTCACAAAATATTTCTATAAAAACTCCATAAATCTACCTGAAAGCCACAAAATACTCTGTAAACATTCAATAACTCAACCTCAAAGTTACAAATACTTCATAAATGCACCATGATTCAACCTAAAACTTATTAAGTACTCAATAAATACACCCTAATTCAACCTGACACTCACAAAATACACAGTAATACACCATTTAAATCAATTTCAAAGTAACAAAATCCTCAATAAATACACCTTAATTCAACCTCAAACTTACAAAATCCTCATTATATACTCCATAATTCTCAAATTCTATCACAACGAAATACACAATAATACAAAATAATACTCCTTAACATCTCTTGTTACAAAATAATAAATATTCTATTACACTATTCAACACTTTTTTATTACAAAATATTCAATAATGCAAGATATTACAAACCAATATCTCTCGTAAATTTTTTTTTTAAATTCTTGCAGTGGTACTCGCATTTAACGAGAACTCAGATTCAACGAAAGGAGATGTATTCACCGTTTGTTTTTTTTCTTTTTTAAAATCATTATAAATAACCTGGATTAAAAAAACACTTAAATCAGCAAGCTCGGATTCAACGAGGTCACTTCCAGGGTGAACAGCCCCCGCAGACATGGCTTTGTCCATTTTTCTCCCACAACGAACTTTATCTATTCCCGGAAAGCATCCATTGCATTTGCATCGTGAACCATTATTCACTTAGTCAATTGCATGCGACCAATCAGCGGCCTTCTTCCATACCAACACATGCGTTATTGGCATGTGCACATGTCTACTATAGTATGTGTCGGGGTCCGAATAGCAGAATGTGACTGTGTGTGCGTGTTGAGAGGGAGGGGCACCATCAGTCCGGGCGTGAAACGTCGCAGATACAATTGCGTCAGTCTTTTTTTTCCCCTGCAACTATTCATTATTACAATGATAAGCTAGTCTTGACGTAGATCTACGTAATGAATTGTGTGTTGGTCTATGGAAGCAAAAGTTGGCGTATGTTAGGCTCTACACAGCAACACAACTTTTTGGTAAACAATCGAGATGACACAGGCATGCATTTGCACGGATAGGTCAATTTTTTTTGCACAGCTCCAAATATGCAGGCACTTCAGGCACCACTTGTTACTTCTCTTTATACATTACTTGCTCAATGTCTGTAATTATCTACACAAAACCTCATGTTTGCTACAACGAACACTGGGATTCAACTAGATTTTAGGTCAGGCCCGGCGACTTCGTTGAATCCAAGTTCCACTGTACAAGATAATACTAATATACGTTGCTCATAATAAAATACTCAATAAATACCCACAAATTGCCTTGATGGGGGTGTTTTGTAAATTGTTTTTGTTAAGTGTTTTACGGCACTCGCAACTGCATAAGGTCATATGAGCGCGCGGGACACACCTTACATTTTCAGTTGGTAGGAAATTTTTTAATTTTGCCCGGGCGGCGGCCGAAGCCTACTCTTATCGATTTTAGACCACTAAGGGATCTTTAACGTGCGCAACTTGCACACGGGCCCTCTGAGATTTTTCGCCTTTGTCCGAGAAGGCTAGGTGTAGATCTTTCCCACCTGAAGATCTGGTGTGTGGCTGAAAGACAGCTGTAAGAAGAAGCGAAGGAGTAGCAGTAGAGATGAGGGTGTAAAACATTATCAAAAAACAAAAACAAAAACAAAATAGCAGTTACCTGCTTGGTCTTGGAGAGACACGTAGATCTCATGACATCTGATGCCAGCTGATGACTCCAGGCAACAAACTTCTCAAACTGTCTCGGCTGGTAGCCTGATTTGGCCATGACCTCCAGCAGCTGTAGAGAGGCCAAAAAGTTCTCCTCTGTCCTTGACCTTACAACACAAAACAAGGTCTCCAATGTCTCGGCCTGAAACAACAAAACAATACACGTGCTGGATCATGGACATTGGGCATGAGCTTTTCTTAATGGAAGAAGGAAGGAACAGAAATTCCATATTCCAACTATGAAGGAATAATGAGATAGACAACCACCACCACCACCACATCATCACCACCATCATCATCATCATCATCATCATCATCATCATCATCATCATCCTCATCATCATCATCATCATCATCATCATCATCATCATCATCATCATCATCATCAAAATAACAATGATAATAAAGCAAATCATTTCTATAGTCTAAAAAAACCCTCGAATGCAGCATAGCTCTAGACACTTTACAAAACATTCATCTTAGCACAAAATACATGGGCTCTTTAGATTAACGTTAACACATAAGCAACCACCCATATTTTTCAAATGGAAAAGTTTTGACATAGGATCCATACTTGCTCAGTCTTCTTCTTCACATGCCCAACCTGTAACAGACATTGGGCATCATGGTCGGCCACTCATTTCATTCAAACTGCAAACATGAGAAAATCCCCAAGGCAGAAATACAGTCTAAATTGTTCAAGACTGCCATCCATTGTCGAGGAGAAAAGAAGTTGTCTTAGACAGACAGATGTCTTGGACAGTATCTTTATAGTGTGAAAAAAAACCCACTGGAAGGGGGGTGGGGTGGGTGGGAAATGGAAGTGGTCATTGGTACAGGTAATTGTCTTGGACAGGTGAACGTCTTAGACAAGTGGTCAGTAGAGCAGGCTTCACTGTACCTCCGCAAAGTGAAACTCCGACAATTTGTTCAGCAGCGTGACGGCACGTAGACAGCTTTTCTCATCGGCAGACGACGACGCGACAAGCTGAGGCAGTTCCTTCAACAGTTCCTCGTACAGCGACCATCTCTCCCCCACCCCCGACGCAGGCCCTGAGCCCACCTGCTGTCTGCCGGTGAAGAGGGAGAACTCTGGGCTCACCCCTCTGGCTTGCTGCAGCTTGTGGCTGAACACGCTGCACAACCGAACTTTGAGCTGTTGGATCTGTTTCTTGACGTTCCCTGGAAGACTTGACTGTTGTAAAAAAAATAATTTAAAAAATTTAATTTCAGATTTATCAATCTCCATTAGGAAATTTGTTTGTTTGTTGGTCTGTCTGTTTGTTTGCTTTTTTGAGTAATGAGAAGCACATTGACATAATAAAGACCATTTTATGCACAGAAAAATTAAAACGGATAGAAACGACAAGGGAGTGGGGGTGGGGAGTAAACAAGAAGTAGGACCGAACAGTGGTGGCATCCAAACAACTTCCAAAACTTGTTTTACAATGGCATATAGACATACAAAAATAGATCAATACAAAAATATAAAATAACAACTGAATGTAACACACACAAAGTCTTATCCATACAGACACACACAGATCATTTCTGGCACACACGACATTGCTGTGCCACTGTGTGGAGTCATGACCACAGAAACTCCCCAGTGACCATGTACCTCAATACTCTGCCCAAGATGGAAGCAGCCAGCCTCCTGAATTATCTTAATTGTGTCGATGAGGGTGAAAAACATTTACATCGTCGCTGTCACAAATAATCCGTTCACATCCAAATAACAAACATTTTCATTTTTACACCCTCCCAAAGTTCTATCAAAGATACACATTTTAGGCAGGCGGACTCGCAAACGTAAGGTCATGGGTTCGAATCCCGTCAGGGGCTCGACGTTGTGTCCTTGGGAAAGGCACTTTACACAAATTTTCCTCACTTCACCCAGGTGGGAATGGGTACCCGGCTATAGACAGCGAAAGATCTTGTCAGTTTGTTAGTGTTTGAGCGCTTAATCAGCTGCTTGCGCTGTATGCTTCCCGGGAAGCTGAGAATGTTTTGGAGTGTTCTATGGTCTGCTGGGGTAATAATATAGTGTAAAGCGCATAGAGTCTGCTGTTGAGCGGGGATATGCACAATACAAATGCTATTTATTATTATTATTATTATTAATATCACCAAAACGCAGTTTAATGCTATGGTCAAGGCTTCCAATTTTCTTGCTTTTTATGGTTTCTTATAGGAATAATGAAAAAAAATAATTTTTGCCTCTGGTGTAAAAAGTACTCAAACGGACTTGAGTGGATTGCTCGCAACACTGATGACATTTTCAATCTTTCTATAGTAGCTAAAAAATAGCTTGGTATAATATACATACACCAACATACTGCCATTCCAAAGTTTTTAGAAATTAAAGAAAAAGAAAATGCATAAATCAAAACCATGACTCTGACCCTTGTCATTTAAAAATCAAAAAGTAGGAAGGAAATAACGAAAGAGAATGAAACCACACTGCAAGATGCCACTTGATGCCTTTATTTAAAAAATGGCTTTATCTGGAAACTTGCAGAACGTGTGAAATGACACTGATGGTATCATAGACAAACAAAAACATACCCTGAACCCCGCCACCATTGTCCGATGAAACGCCAGCAAGTCACCAAAGTCCAGTTTTTGCATCGACTGCGTCAACGCCGACAGTTCCACCGGGGAGATCTGGAGACCACTGGTCAGCCGATTGACCGCTAGAGTGAGAAAGAGTCTCACCTCCTCCCTCCTGGCTTCGGGCTGGTCAACTTTGTGGGTCAGTCGTTGCTCTAGGTGACGTCGAAAGTCTGTGGACCAGTAGCAGCCCCTGGCAGCTCTCTGTCAGTCAGCGGGACAAACGAGAAATACAGGTCAAGGTCAAGGCTTTCTCTCGTTTCCAACATTCTTTACAATTTTAAAACAAACAACAACAAAAAAAAGCCTTAAAAAAAAAAAATTCAGGGATGCCAAATGATTTTTGAAAAAAAAATGAAAATGAGCAGAGCATCACATCTCACCTAAAAAGTACTATGAAAAATCTTCAAAAGAGCAAACAAAAATATTTCTCTTACCATTCCCCTATCCTTTGCAAGTGTATGAAAAAAATGGAAAAAGCAGGAAAAAACAGAGATTTGGCATCCCTGACAATTGTGACGTGCGGGACTACAATGTGGATAGCCCCGGTTCAAACCCACGACGGGACATTCAGACTTGAGATGTTCTGGGAGTTCTCCACCCACCTGGCTCAGCCCTATTGGAGATAGGCACTCAATCTGGGAATCCCATCTCTTAAACAATGTTTCAGTGTTTACAGGAGCATTGAAACCATACCATACAGGACAGAGAAGAGTTTGAGTTTCAAAACATTCAGCTTTAAACAGCAATATTGCCACTGAAACAAAAACAAAGAAAGGAATCTGTGTTAAACAAAAAGTTATTGAGACTTGTAAGTTTATTATATGTTACAATTCAACTTCTAAGACACTGATTTCTCAATTTTGTCCAAATTCCTGGTGTGTAGAATTCATAATTACTCGTTTTCATGAGTTTATATATATATACACACAGTATAACATGAACACGTCGAACAGAGAACTCAAAATCACGCATTTATCGGCCTATGCCTGAGGTCCCCGATTGTTTTTCTTCTTTATCTTAGAAAGATATCCCTCGAACTACCTTGGCCAGTCTCAAAGTACTCGAGCTATCTGTATTATACTGCATATTCATGTTAATACAGAAAGTATACTCCCTGGGGCGGTGCCACTAACTGAAGTGTCTTTAGGCCATTCCCAAAGGGGGGGACATTTCTCGTTCATGCACAGCAGAATTGTAAATGGGCTGATTCACCAATGTCACGCTCATAACTGTGCCTGATCTACAACAGGAAACTGCTGCTTTTTCTTTCCTAATCCTTACTATTATCATTTTCCTCTACTTCTATTGTATGTTTGTCACACTCTTGTGACCCACTATTTCCGGGGTGCCTGGAAAGTCGAAGCAGACTTTGTGCTGTTGAAATTAAAGAGGTGAGCAGAGTAAGCCTGATTCCCTGTAAAGACTTCTCTGTTGACATCCACCCTTTGGCGCTCATATGACCTTAAGGAGTTGCGAGAGCCGTAAAACCTCTACTAAATTTTAAAAAATAAAAAAGAGAAAGTATAATAATACTAACAACAATTTAAGAACGATTATTGTCAACGATAATAGTAACAATAATTATAATAGTTGTTTTGTTTTGTTTTGTTTTTGTAAAGTGTTTTACGGCGCTCGCAACTGCATAAGGTCATATGAGCGTGCAGGACACACCTAATATTTTCAGTTGGTAGGAAATTTTGAATTTTGCCCGGGTGGCGGCCGAAGCCTTCTCTTATCGATTTTAGACCACCAAGGGATCTTTAACGTGCGCAACTTGCACATGGGCCCTCCGAGATTTTTCGCCCTTGTCCGAGAA